GAGTGTACAATCCACGCCCTTCCTTCATTTGGAATACCTTGGATCAGTCACTGACCATAGTTATATAACATGGACACTTCAATTTGTGCTTACCTGTAAGGTGGAGAGCTTGCTCTGTAGTTCATTCACTACAGAGTCTCTCTCTTCTCGTAAGTGCTTTTCTGTCTGTTCCCAAACCTCTTTTTCTATATTCATCCTTCTTCTATAAAGGACAGTTTTATTTATTATACTCCATATACTTGACAAATTTAAAAGGCAAAAATCTATGCAAACATGACAAATTTAAAAGGCAAATCTATGCAAGCATCAAAAACAAATATTATGCAATGGTCCATTAACGACCAAGATGACAAGATCAGCACGTCATGAAAAAATTGACTTAAGAGCCAGGTGAAGCAAACATGCCATTATGACAAAGAAGCTAAAAGTGCTTCTGCAGAAAAGACAAAATAACAGGGAGGCACAGAGTCTTGTCACCTCACACGAGTGTTCATGTCAGATTGGCTGCTCAAGTAAGCCTTATGCCTGCATTTGATGGCAGTAGAGCATCCAGATCCAATTAGTTAACAACTATAGTTAGTATAAGAAATTAGCACGATTTGCCAATTCATGACGTGTTTGCCACATCTAACCACTGGATATATGAATTCAAAAATGTATTTAAAGCACAAAAGGCAAATCGTGTTCACTATCATTGACGTGCCTACCTTACCAATTATCATATTTCAAAGTATACACCTTAGTAAAAAAAAAAAAATGCCAGTAATTTATATAATATTGAATGGCACCTTTATAAGCTAAGGAGTATGAACTGAAGCATTCACATACATACTATCTATCACTTGATCATCTGTACCCCAGAAAGAGAAACCCTTTTCCACCTCCAAGCTGGTTGTGGTGGAACCTTATGCCACAAGTCTTAACTTGCTGTCGCCATAGTTCTGTGCCTAACCTCCAATGCCCTAGAGTGAATTTTGCTGCTGGCTGCCCTCACACACATCCCATGCAGCTCACTCTGCAAAGTTTCCATTTATTCTAAGCTGTAACTGGTGCTTCAGAATCTTCTACAGTTGCACATTCTACCCCTTTATCCTAGGGGTATGAGAAGCTCATGCCTCCACTAGTCCCTGTCCCTGCTAATGAAGGTCTTCCTCCCTTCAGACTTTTCATGGTTCTCCAACTATTGTCTAAGGCTCCATACGATGAGGGGGCTAAACTCTCCCCCAGACAATTTCCTTCTTCCTGCTATGAGAAGCCCAACATGTTATAGACACAGAAGGATGGAGGTACTGACCACTTGAAATGAATCATCAAGGCATCACAAACACAAATTGCTGACCCCTCAGATGAGAAGCCAACACATAACTACTGTAGCAGTCCGGAGGCAGTTCTGTGTTCCAGATCCCAGGCCTGAAGTAAACCAGGAACTGTCAGGAAATTGAGAAAAAGGGGAGCCTGTTTAAGAGGTCCAACAAAGCACAGTTGTCAACCAGTCCAGACTCGTCATTGAGTCACCAGATATACCTGGTGATGATCAGTCAAGGAGAGGCTGCTGGCTGTGGTATAACCCAATCTATGAAGTATGCTACATGCAGGTTGCTGCTACAAGCTCACCATCAGTTTAATGGATATTTACAAACCTGTACCTGATCTGGTACTATCTGACACAACTGGCTATACAGGCAGATCTGTACCTGGGTACACATTCTTTTCCTCTTTCTAATTTGTGGAGCATTTGTTCCTAAATGACATTCCACTCAGCCTATTTCTGCCGAGGCAATAGGGGTCAGTCTCCCATCTGCCCACTCACACGCACTCCTAAATCTTCTTTAGCCAGCTGATGCCTTGGTCACCTTTGGCCTTGAGGTAGGATTTGTAGCCAAGAACAAGTTGAAGAGCCATGCTGTAAACATACCTGCTCCTCGCAGGTATTGTCAACTGTGACTCAGGCTAAGTTTGCTCTGCCCTGTTCCAGTGCCATCTGGCATAATTTAGCAGGTGGGAGATATATGAGACTGATGAGGAAAAGTGGGCTAGAGACAATAAGATGAATGCCATACTATACCTTTACCCAGTAACAACACTCCCCATTACTTGTATAATCGTAATTCAAATGTAGAATTACATTCTCCATTGTTTCTGCAACCTCACTCTTGCAACTTACAGAATACATTTGATACAATTCTATGTATTCTGAATGGCACCTCAGATTCCCTTCATTTCCTCTAGTTGCTTTTACTCTACAGATGATAGAATGTTATGGCTATGAATGCCTCAGTCTAAAAGGGTGTCATACTTGAAAATTGTTTTTTCACAAATCAAATCTTAGATCTTGTGGATATTATATATATTATATATTATATATTATATATATTATATATTATATATATTACATATTATATATTATATATATTACATATTATATATTATATATATTAAATATTATATATTATATATATTACATATAATGCAAAGGCTACATAGCCTAGAAAAAAATAACATACATACACATTAGCATTTTCCAATATTGATATTTCTTTTGAATGTTGATTATGAATCAACTCCAGTTCAGCTTGCAATCTTGCAACTTCGATTTCTGCACTCCGTAATTTAACCTGTCAAGAAATTACATTAAATAATCAGGCAACTTTCATGTATTCTGCATTATTGCCAACTATAGAAAAAGGAGAGAATTAGTCACAGACCTGAAAACCCAGAATCAGTTAATCCCCATACCTGACACCCAAAACCAGCCTATCCAAACACCTGACTCTTAGAATTGATTAGCATTTTTTAGTGTTGTTGGGTAGAGTGCTAACAAAACAGGTTTTACAATATCTTCTGTAAAAAAATATGTTCAGTAATTTTGTGTGTACTTTTACTGATTATTCCCTGGTTGAGTGATCACTGAAAAATGTGAATACTTTCACTTCTGTTACCCTTTGGTACCGTAATATAAAAAGTCCAAACTTTTTTAAAGAATCTGTGGCATGAAGATGCTTTGTGTGCATTTCAAAAACAAAATATACTGCGACAAATCTCCATGGGGATTGTCCTGCATTGGGGAAAGGGGATAAAATTGATAAAGCTGACATAAGGCCTTTTGTAGCTTTTCTGAATCCCTAGGACTTTGATACACTCTGTTACATATTTGCCCTTTATGTACAAATTATTGGAAACTGTGCCCTCTTTTCTGGTGGCAATTAGGCTGTCGTGAGACCCAGAACCTGTCTCATGATTGGAGAAGTCACAACATTAAGCTCCTGTGACATAATGAAAATGGCTAGCTGTTTTACTGGATTATTTTTTTTTCGACTGGTACACAATTTTTTGGAATATAATATCACAGATAGCTTTTGATATTTTATGATGGGTTGTGGTATGCCTCTGGCAACTGAATTAATGTTTACCACCAACTCAATTCCTGTCACACAGGAGGTATTACATAGGCCATAATTGTTGGAAAAGACAGCTCTGTTGAAACATCTTTTCGGTTTGTATCAGTTTATTATTTCCTAAGAGAATAATATAAGCACATGGGCCCCATAACTGGACAACCCTCATCTCAGCAGTCCCATTTTTTCGGTACGATTTCATTTAAAATTAATTTCAAGTTGGATAATGGATAACCTGATATATCTCATTACTATAATGGATACATATTTTCAATCTTGATGTCATGAAATTCTGATGGACATCTTACCTGAGAGTGAAATAAATTCTGTATGTGAATACTTATAAATGTACCACAGTATTTCATACTTACCGTCAATTCCTTAAGGTGGTCATCATCGCCACTTGTATTCATATTTATCACAGGAGGAGGTGGAAGAGTCATTTGCCTCATGTTTAACATTGCTTCCTGGTACCTTTAAGTGTATTAAAAGGTTATACTTCTCAAACGTATCTGACTAGAGAGAGAGAGAGAGAGAGAGAGAGAGAGAGAGAGAGAGAGAGAGAGAGAGAGAGAGAGAAAGAGAGAGAGAAAGAGAGAGAGAAAGAGAGAGAGAAAGAGAGAGAGAAAGAGAAAGAGAAAGAGAAAGAGAAAGAGAAAGAGAGAGCGAGAGAAGGAGAGAAAGAGAAAGAGAGAGCGAGAGAAGGAGAGAAAGAGAAAGAGAGAGCGAGAGAAGGAGAGAAAGAGAAAGAGAACTTTAGAGAAAGAGAGAGAGAGAGAGAGAGAGAAAGAGAGAGAAAGAGAGAGAAAGAGAGAGACAGAGAGAGAGAGAGAATGAAAGAGAGAAAAAGAAAAAGAGAGCGAGAGAAGAAGAGAAAGAGAAAGAAAGAGCGAGAGAAGGAGAGAAAGAGAAAGAGAGAGCAAGAGAAGAAGAGAAAGAGAAAGAAAGAGTGAGAGAAGGAGAGAAAGAGAAAGTGAACTTTAGAGAAAGAGAGAGAGATAGAGAGATGGAGAGACAGAGAGACAGAGAGAGAGAGAGAGAGAGAGAGATGGGGGAGGGGGGGGAGAGAAGGGAGAAAAAAAAGGGAGAGAGAGAAGAACACAGAGAGAGAGAGAGAGAGAGAGAGAGAGAGAGAGAGAGAGAGAGAGAGAGAGAGAGAGAGAGAGAGAGAGAGAGAGAGAGAGAACGAGAGAGACAGAGACAGACAGACAGAGAGAGAGAACGAGAGAGACAGAGACAGACAGACAGAGAGAGAAAAGTGAGAGAGAGAGAGAGAGAGAGAGAGAGAGAGAGAGAGAGAGAGAGAGAGAGAGAGAGAGAGAGAGAGAGAGAGATTTATATAATGCAAGGGAAAATCATTCATTTTCAGAAGACTCATAATTCTAGAATATTTATATAAATATTTTGGAAGGGTATGTCCATTCCTTCAGACCTACCTTTTCATTGTAGCTTGCTGTTGCTTCATTATTTCATCAGCCATCTGTTGGGGGTTTATCTGCGATGTTAATTGAGAATTTTGTTCACGCTGAGCTTCTATCTGAGCAGCTACTTGTACCTGAGCTTCTTGCTGTTCTTTTAGTAACTGCAGTTGCATGCCATCTGTAT